AGAGAAAAAGGGGCACAATATTTTGAGGTAGGGGATATTCATAGAGCAGATGGTAATACCCACGCATTAATATGACTTAAAAAGGGACTAAGGAGACACTTCACAGCACAAAGACAATATATGCAGAGATTATTAACTCATTATAATGTAATCACACAGCAGACAATAGGTGGGCTTGTTGTCAAAATGCTGTGCTGAGTAAGGAAAAGGATATCTTGGATAAGAATAAATGAGGTCAAATAGGCGAACAGATAACACCCATGTTCTCATCTAAGAGGATTGTGAGGTGCAGCTCTGACAGGATGACAGGTGAGGCAAGCAGAAACTTGGATTAACAAAGTGGAAGACAGACTGCTAGACAAATAGTGGACTAACAAGAGCAGACTATACGTTTTACCAAAATACACAGACAGAAAGGTGCTTTCAGTTTATATGTTGGTTTTTACAACAGTGCAAAGACTGTGTCACATGAGGGAGGTAAAAGCATGTGAGACCAGGGATTACAGGAGGAGGGTATGGCAGGGAGGGGGAAAGGGGAATCCACACACTACAGTCACTTTTGGACAATATGGTTCATCATTAACCCCAATTACTTTTGAAAGTGCCTTTTTGTAAAACACATCAAAACCTAGGGTACTTTCCAGGATGAGAAAGAAGGCAGTTGTTTTAACTAAGGAAGTTATAAGTTGTCTTTTTAAGTCGAGTCATTTGAGTCAGCAACATCAAGCTAATATAACTTTCCATCACAACCCAAACTATATCACAATCGCTTGATCAGAAAAACAAAAAGCAACTGCAAAAAAGGGCCCAATATTCTTCAGGTCAAATGGGAATATTGAATCTCACTTTATCGCACAAGGCTTTAAAGTGGCATGTGTGTAAAAGCAGCCATGAAACTGCTGAAGTGAGAGCTCAGATTAACACAGCGTGCAGATGGACTCGCACCTACATTTGGTTTGTGTTTACAACGGCTAAGCAGACCAGATTTGAATGTACTCAACTTTAAAGAGGGTCTGACAGTCAATAAGCCACTGATTAACAGAACCGGCAGCTTTAACAACATCCAGTTGAGGAATAGTGCCGTATTCAATAACAGATATGATTATTCACCGTTTCAAAAATCATGTTGAGCAACATGTTGAGCTAGGATGATTATGCACTGAGCAGTTTTTTTATGATACAAATAAGACCATGCCTACTAGTCAAAAAGAGAACTATGTTTTATTTATATAATTCATTCATGTTTTTAAAAACTGTAATAAGTTAATTGTATGCCACATTTGCTTAAAAATGGTGGTCTTGCCTGAATAGAAATGATCAAATAAACACAGATTATGTGACTGTATGCCATTCATCAAATAATCTTGTAGCTCTAATAGACTTTACTTCAAATATATAACCAAAAGCAGTAAAGATGTAACAATATTGCTTTGACTCCCACTGGTTTGCAGCAGATAAACACATAATAAACCTGATTTAAGGTACATGCTGTAGTATAATCCCCATTCAAATGAAATAATATACTCAAACTCCAAAGGAAGTTTTATAAACCAATGGTTTCATCATTATCGAATGTTAATACAGACTGTCTACTCTAGATGCATACAGTACATTCGAATTAAACTGCTGTCAGTTGTGGAAACCTTATTGATATTTATTTTTTTAAAACAACAGCACACCAACAGCAACCATACAATGATGCCATTTTCCACTCATGATTTCTTGACCAGTTATGGTAACATTAAGGTACTTGACCAACAACTGCAGGAGCCAAACATCACTTACAGTTAAAGAGGAAGAAAGCAGCAGTTTAAAGTCACTTGTAATTCAAACTGTCAAACAAACAGGCACATTTGACATTAAGACAGGTCTTTGTAGTAAGCTATATAAAAAAAGTATAATAATTTAATTAATTTATAATGAGAACTAGTAGGTCAAGACCACGTTACGACTGTACTGCTATAGTCGTGTTATTTATCTTGAGTTAATGTAACAGAGTGCTAACTTGTTGAACTGGGCTAACAACAAGTGTCGCTAATGTGTTGTGGCTAATGCCAATGCTCGCCAACAAACCCAGTTAGCTTACTGTCCACTTAGCATGGCACTGAAACTAAACACACCCGCAGACACACACAGCTTTCAGCGTAACTTACATCTTTCTGTTCTTGTTTGATGTTAAACAGTTTGAGTCGCTGGAGCCGTGCTTTCATCCCATCCGCCATAAACTTTACAAAAGCGAGATCTGAGGGGTTACTTCTCCGAGGCTCGCCCTTCTGACAGTGTGGGACACTTCAATTTAATTTCATTGGAAAGTTGATTTTGCTCCCTGCGGTTAAATATCAAGTTTGTCAACATAAAATTACAACACATCCGGTTGAAGTTTTTCAAAGTAAGATAATGAAAATCACTTCACATGGGATATCATTTACACACTACTTGATTGGCTCTTGTTTTGAAAGCCAAATAACCAACTTCAGTTTTTTTCCCAGTTAAGTGTGGTTATCTTGTCGCAGCTAGATCCGCCAATGCGTTTGGACAATGGGGTGGACACAGTTCCTGTCCCGGGGCAGTCAAACTTTAGGCGGTAGACTTTTGGGTGGTTTTCCCTCTGGTGTTGCATGACTTAGATTGTGTCTATTATCTTCGTTGGTATGACTGAATATAAACAGTATTTCCGGTGTGTAAGCAGAGCAGACCTAATCAGCCAAGAATGATTGCCCTGGGGAAGCACTGCTGCTGATAGCTGGAATATGACTACTAAACCTTATGGTCTCTAGAAGTTACAAACCGTTGTCATGTCAAAGTCTACATTTGACAACGTTTTATCTCAAGTTTCACAGCATTGGTGCAGAACTGGTTACAATTTGTATTAAAATGTGTATAAAATTACTTTGACATTGTAGTTTTACACCCAGGCAGCAACTGCATTCCCATGTTTTCATATTAAATAACATGAAAACTACTTTAACTAGGCAATATCTTATTAGCATTTATGTTTACCACCATTTGCTATTAAAGAGTGATTTTAATCAATTTACTTTTATAATTGAAAAACCAGAATACCCAATCCTCATGATGATCATACAGTCTTAATAAAATAGGTTCAGTTAGTAATACTGATATATATTATCTCATTACCATCTGTTCACTTTCTGAATAGTGATAAACAGACTAAAACATTGTGAACTTTGTACAATTCATTAGTGACACCCAGTGGTTACTTATTTCCCACTGCAGGAGCAGCAGAGTCAAATGACTAGTGAATGGTAACATTTTACCAGACATTCAATAGATAACCACTGTTGTTTTTTGGCTGGTAAGTGATACAGTTATTCTAGACACATATTTTACCAGCACTTGGCGATTGTATGCTGCTGGATTTACTGCATGGTAGAAGGATGCTAGTGTACCATTGGGTTCATTGGTTGCTAAAATGTGTAGGTTTAACTTTCAAACATTTTTTTTAACTTTATGATAGATAAAAAGGACACATATTTATCACAATAAATCATAATATGTCTGTTATACTACAGTCCAGACAGTCTTTTTAAATTTTTAAATATCATCATTAACATCACCCACATCTTTTGCAGCAATATTTTCAAATGTGAGCCCATAAACACGATGCAAATAAATCTACCATCACTTCCCCCACTTGAAAGTGACAGAGTGTGGTGTGTGTGTGTGTGTGTGTGTCCCAATGTGACAGAGCTAGAGCAACAGGTGGTCAGCCTGACATCATCATTGCATTCTTCAAAGGGCTGAAAAGAGACAGGGGAGAGAACAACAAGCATACAAAGACACACACACACACACTTTCTCCACAACAAAAACACATCACAACAAAAGCTGAGCCAAAGGAAGTGGTCGCCTTGGCAACATGACATCCTGCTTGGTTAATGTAAAGCAAGCTATTTGACTTACACACAAGAATACACACACAAAACATCCTATGTGTGTATGATAAAGTAAAATGAATCTGAATGTGGGGATTGATACCAAATACAGTACATGTAGTGACACATATGCACATATAGAGACACATGTCACTATTTACAGTACATCACAGAGTACATGCTGGCTGTTCATATTTTTTTAAGGTTATGCAGGTATTTGCCTGTAAGCCGGGACTTGTGGAAAGCAACACAAAAACAGTTGTAGATCGAGTTCGAGCTGACATTTGTAATTCTTACTCCTAAGATTTATTTAGTATCTCCATCTCTATAATGTGGCTAACTCTTTTAATTCTTCGGTATGTTAAGCATGGCATGCAATGAGGATGCTATCAAATGTCTCTGGCTTGATTCAGGCACCAGCTGCAGCTTCACAGTGCAGAGGCTGTTGGCAAAGCCCAGCATGTGGAGGAGAGGTTAAAGGATTTAGAGGTCAGGAGTGTGCGAATGTGTGTTTTGTATGTGGACGTGTTTGTGTGTATGTGGTTGAAGTGAAAGCACAGTGAACATAGACTTACAAGGTGCCAATTCAAGATCCAGTTTCTCTCAGTGGGATGTGGTAATAGATAGTGTGATCACACTGAATGATCTGGCTACCTTTTTGTCAAAATGTAAGGAGAGTGTTGCCAGGCTGAATCCTGATTCTCATGTGATTCTATTAGTTGCCTGTCTGCTCTAGATTCTAAACTGACATGCAAAATCTAGGTTAAGTTGAATTAGCTCTGTGTGTTGCTTTCATTATGCTTTATGAGACTGTCCACTTTGACATGCAATAATCATGATGATTTGGGAGCTCTATTACTGTATGTAGATAGTAACCACAATGTCATCGTTACAGCTTTTGCTTGGGCACCTTACTAAATGTTGAGGCTTTGTGTGGCTAATCTGCAGATATTAACTTAACTTTTATTGCTGTGTTTTCTAATTGTGATAATATTTAAGAAGAGTACACTTATCCATTGTTTCTTACTTTGCATACATATGTATATAATGCCTGATACAGTAGTGTTTAATCTCATATAATTTCATTTATAAACACTCACTCACCTTGGTGCTGTCCTGGCACTGGAAGACATAGCAGGAGTAGTTTGGTGCGTCTCGGACCAGGCAGCCGAAGCTGCTGGGCTCCTGGCTGTTGTGAATCAGCTTGGTCACTTGGTGAGGACGACATTCAAACAGCACTGTGTGAGTCAGAGGGTCCCAGACAACTCCCTCTCCCAGAACAGACACACATCGCACCCGCAATGCTGACACACACAGGAAAACTGTCTGATTACGGGTAGAAGGGTCCACCTGTCGTCCAGACCGCAACCCAGCACCCACATTCCTCTCTGCAGGCCGACACTTGCTGATCTCAGCCACCACCCAGGGCAGCATGGCCATGGTGGTCAGGTGGTGGACCGGCAGAGAACCGATCAAAATCAGTTTGTATCGTATCTCCTCATCTTCCTCCTCTCCTTCTTCCTCTACCTTTTCCCCCTGTGGTGAAATCCATTTTCTTGTAGAAGAGAGCTTGCGCGGACACAGTGTGGAAGAGTTGCGATGTGAAAGTGATGGATATGAGCGGTGGTTTGAGGTCAGGTTAGGAGGGGGGTTTTCAGAGCTTAGAGGGCTAGAGGGTTCATCTCTTCTGGGCTTCACTTCAAAGTAGAGCCCCTCCATGGCTGGTGGGGCCAGACGCAGCCGTCTGCCTCCGCTTTTAGCTGCAAAAATTCAGTCAGAGGACAGAGACTTTTAAAGAAGAACATTTACTGTGTTCCACTTTGCCATGTGTAGAATCTGGACACTGTTAATCATCCGAGTCCTGCAGTGTAGTAATCACAGGGTCATTTGGAGGGTACTAAACATGGACCACCTGGTGTTGTTTACCGAACCCAAAACACATGACTACTGACCTACACTTTTTACAGTCTCAAGGACACACAGACAAACACAGGACAGCTAAACTCTAAGGATCATACTTGGCAAGTGTTGAGAGAAAAGCGGGTAGCTCATCTCTCCTGCCCCACACCATCAACATACGTAAACGACATTAAAATCACTTTTATAACTATTACCGTAAGAATAAGTATACATTCACTGTGATAATGTGTAACGTGTAAGTAACTACGTCAACAACATTGATAGCGGGGCATGATGGAAATGCTTTAAAAACAGATAAGCCAGCTATGAAATGAAACGTTCCCGTGAAGTTAATAGAGAAAGAAAAGGAAGACGTCCAATACGTACCTCATATTTGACCTTGCAACATAAATCATTTCTCAATTTAAATAAAATGAGGCAGTGCGGCTGCCATATAGGTCGGTCTGCAGTAGAGGAACAACGGAAGTTAGAATGAGGTTTTATTTCCGAGGAGCGCAGCCCCACTTGCCTTCTTTTACTGGTGATTGTAATTTTACGCACAGGGAAGTTATAGGCTATTTACGCACGAGGCTGCGCACACACTAAATCGACCACGGTTTATGTACGTTTTCCCCGATTTTGATCGATTGACCATCATCTGGCTGATATTCTCATGCCGGTTCAGTCTTACCTGTTCACTGAAGTCTTGTCCGGTGAATGTCAGAGTCTACGGACGTACACAGAAATAAAGAGCGAGGGAGAGCTTCACGGAGCACCAGCAGTCTGTAGTTTGAGTTAAATATAGAGACAGGGCAGACCCGACCTCCCTCCTCTCTGTTCTCAGATGGGACATGACCAGTGCGTGCTGCATGCATGCTCTCCACAGGATGCAGGGGGAACGTGTCCGCACGTAGCGTGAGTGTTGGTGCTTTACCTTCGACATTTCACTCCAGATTCACCGTTAGCAAGCGTTTTTATTGAGTTTAACTGTATTTTCAACAAAGCATTTGAAATATGAGGCACATAAGGAAAGGTGAGGTGCTAATTCGACAATTCTATAGTCAACATCTATGAAAGACTGGGGAAAAGGGTCTTAATTGTAGATGTAATATGTTGTGTCAAGAGTCCCTTTGAGTATTAACTATTCATATCAAGTAATGAGCAGTGGGAGCATGTGAACAACACATGTATAATATTTCCACTTGGTGGTGCTCCAAGCTTTTAGGCGTGGTCATTTTACATATCAGCAACTCTGAAATGACAGCTTTAAACTTAAAAATATATTTAACTGTAACTCTCAATGCCATACTGTTATGTAAGATATGACACTTCAAAGTTTAGCAACAATTTACAACATCAATTAAAGGTATAGCTAGTTTTAAAGTTAAGTTTCAGAATTTCTCTTTAACATTTGCACACTTATGTAACTCTTCATGTTAGCAACCTTGCAGTTGATGCTAAAAAAGCATCGGATGCATGTTTGTTGAATACAAGAGAATATACAGCATGTGTGTGAACCAGGGGCGTCGCCTGGACCTGAAAACATTCGGGGCTTAGCCCACAGTGGCGGCGGCACTACAGTGGCATTTTTCACTGCAACACTCCCCACACGCACACACACAGTACACCCGCGACTGTTACAATGAAGGCTCCATAATCAGCTCACGGCATATAGGCAGGGGTAAAGTGGTATTTTTTATGAGTGGGGGGCTCACCTCCTCTAGGGGGGTCCGGGGGGATGCTCCCCCGGGAAGATTTTTTTTTAAATATTGAAGTTATATGCATCAATCTGGTGCACTTTGAGAGCAAAATGAAGAGATCTATGGATACCTCTCTCAACACCCATATGAAGCAGAACTGTAAACAGATGTACTAAAGCCCCGGATGCCCAGGCCAGGCGACGCCACTGGTGTGAACCTAAACATCACAGTGAAACAGCAGGAATGACTGAGGAAGGGGGGACATTGTAAAGATGTGGTTCCAAATCTCCAGCGTGAGGTAAACTCAATCCAAACCATGTAACTTTTTAGATGTAAAACTGTCTCTGGATTTATCCCTACACCCAAACATTTGGCATTTACCCTGTAGATTAGATTAAGACTAACTGGCAGAAATGTGTAAAATTGTCAATAAAGTAATGTCAAGCCTGTATTAAATCAAAAGTCCCTTCTGGAGTAATTTAGACACTCTGTGAAATGCTTAGACATATTAGTCACAGTTGGTTCTGTAAAGTAATGTTTGTCTATCAGTGTTACTCCGGCTTGGGCTGCAGCTTATTCTTCTCTGGCTCAAAGAAGTTTTCAACAATAGCGTCAACCAATTCATCCAGCTCCTTCTTCAGGTGCGTCACATCACTGTTGAGAGAGTCACAGGGGGAACAAAACATGACAATGAAGTGACTGGGTTGCCATTTAAACGTAAGACATTTAGAAGTGAAACAATTAGTCAATTTATAGAAAAGTAAGTGCCAACTATTTTTTATAATCTATTGATTGTTTAACTCACAAAAGGTGAGGTGAGATGGACTAAACAATATTCACCATTTTGGGTTTTACCGTAGGATATTGTAAGCTTACTTTTTTCTGTCATTTTACATTATAAATGATTAAAAGATAATCAAAATAATCAGTAGTCATAAAGCCACTTGCTGGCCAGGGGCCTCATTTATAAAGCCTTGCGTAGGATTCACGTGGGAAGGTTGCTTACGTAGGACAAAGCAAATAAATATGCACAGACATTTTCCGATTTATAAAACACTGCGCACGCACGTCCTACGCCGGTTTCCCTTTATAAATCACAATCAACTCGAAATGCAGCGCAGCTTTTGCGGGCTTCACGTAACGCCCATATTTGCCTACAAATAGTAACAGAAACGCCCCGTATTAATATTCATTTTTGACTGACTGCATGAAGAAGATCGCAGGAAATGACGACAGAACAGCTAAAAAAATACATTTTACACCGTGTCAGATTTTGGTTCTTTTGGGGAGGTGGAGACAAATCACATTGTTTGGTGGATGCAGTTTGAACCAGAGTAGCAGCATGGAGGTCGGATCGTTTCCATACCTCCTGTGTTTTATGAGCGACTTATCAAGTCTTAGCAAACGGCATAAAACATGATTAAACATGATAGTATATAAAACCATGCTCGTATCTATACAACCTATAGAAAAGCAAAACGGACTCAGTTTAGACGTAATTCTGTCCTTCTGCTTACCGCATCAATTATGAGAATACATGTCATAACATTAAGACAACATATTCGAGGTGGTTTTCAATAACATTTCCGTATTTATTTATTTCTCCAAGTTATGTTTTTGTGTGCACTGAGGAGTCTCAAGCTGGCGTTTGTTAGAGGAGAGGTGTCATGGCCATTTCCACTGATCATAATTCCATTGTTGAGGTCTACTAAAATAGATTTATACTGTGCATTTTTCCAAACTCACATTGGTTTCTCATACAGCATCTCTGTAAACTACTTGTATTCACTATCTGCCTTTAACGGCTCGTTGTAGCTCCAAAAGCTCCAGCCCCCAGCCCCCACCCTCCCTGTGAGCACAGTGTGCTCTGATTGGTCGGGACGTTGTGAATGGCGCTGAGCTCCGTGGAGGTGTCGTTTCCTTGTTTAGGATACATAGCGAAACACAGCCAAATTCATCCTGAGCACACACAAACTCACATCCGAAGTAAAAACAATAAGTGTGGCTTGATATTGAGTAAGAAAAAGGTTGATAAACGCTGTGAGAATGGGTCTGCAGAGAGAATTTAGAGATCCCAACTGTCTGTTATCAGCCTGCAGCCAGGGAGGAGAAATCAGCTGAGCTGCCTGCTCCCTGCACACAGATGTGTGTGTGAGGAAGTCCGTGGATCGGTCAATTTGGACCAATCAGCGGGGGCTTAACGTAACGGCTCCGCGGACGTAACGTAACGGCTCTTCGGGATTGGTCCATTTCGTTCCGGGTACCGCTTGACATCATGCCGTACCCGGAACGAAATGGAAGACTCAAATGGCCAGTGACGTATCTCCAACGAGGCGTTTTGGGGAGGTATTTTCTGTGTTAGAGTTTTACTCGCTACAGGGTGTACTTTGAGGGTTTTGACTCTGCACACCGTTTACATGCATAAAAACCTTCATAACACACAAGGGGACGGGTAATAACCGGAAAAGCATGACACCTCTCCTTTAAATCATTTTAAGATTGGCTTTAATCAATTTTTGCAAATTAATTCTTCATACACATGAGGTAACATTTTATTTATGGTATTATTTCCACATATTTCTCTCCATTCTTCCTTCTGCCAACGGTGTCGCAGTTTCTCGTCTCTTTCCCGTTTTTGTGCGTACCGCGTACGGATGGGTCAGAGTTTGCGTGGAGGACCGCACATTTTCCCGTCAAGTTTGTTTTTTATAAAATCGCAAACATTGCTTAGAAACTGGCGTGCGCCATCTTTTGAGCGTACGCACCGTTTATAAATGAGGCCCCAGGTCTCTACAGTCCCCTACCTGTTTCCAGGAGCCGCACACAGTTCAGTATAGTATTTGATTTTCGGCTCCGTGCCGCTGGTCCTCATGGTGGCCACACCCCCGTTGGCGAAGCTGAAGGTAATCATCTGACTGGACCTGGAGGTGGGAAGAACCTAAGAAAGAGAAAAGAGTGATGGATTAATAAAAAAGAAAAGAAAATACAAAAGGGAAGTTCTGTTCCAATGGACAACTTGAAGGAAATTATTCATATACAAACTCATTTGCATAAAATACAGAAATGGAGCTCACATATTCAGTTTCTCATAGGATTCTGAAACCTTAAAAGCCCCTCAACAACAAGCAAACAGTCACTTATTTATGGTAAATTAACATTATACATAAAAACGATTTGCAAGGTTGTAGGAACCCTAACACAAAGCACACAGCAAGGGGCCAACCCTGCAGAGTGAAGCATTGTGGCTCCTTAAAAAAAAGGTATGACATTATAACTTTAGTGAGTAGTCAAGTTTATTATAAATATACACCTTTTTCTAAATATAACGACACCTGCACCATCATTATTTCCATTTTTAAACCCACAGTAGCACTAATAAGCCGTTGTTTATTTCCATATCCAGCAGTTAGAAACATTATCACAAGTCGTGACTCTAACTAACTTTTCCATATTTATGGCTGCAAATATTGGTCAATATTATCATTGGTACATAAACATTTGGCATTTATCAAAGCACGGATTTGTCCCCTCTAAATGAATTACTGTACATGTGTCCATGTGTATACTTACAGCCTTGTTGCTCGGCTGGTTGCTGTCGTAGCCGGTGGTCAGGTCCCGTACAGCAGAAATAGCGAAGCGGCCACATTCAGTGGGATACGAGTCTTTCTGGCCACTGTGGGTGCGCAGGCGCTCAAACAAGCTGCGGATCACATCCTGGTCATGGCAGATGAAATAGGAGTTCTTACTGATGTGGTAGCCGTACCTGACAATGAGGAGGAGAGAGAGTCAGAGTGTAAGTCTACAGCTGAAGTCTATATATTTTTATTATAAAAAGTCCAAGCCATATGAGTTTACTGTATGTTGTCTTACTCTTCATAGATGTTAGTGACTTGTTGAGAAAGGCTTGAGCTTTTCGTGGCCAGATAGGAAATCATCTCTCCTGCTATGGCTGCAGCACTCACTCCATCCTTGTCCAAAACAGAGGGACTACACATATACCCTGCAACACACACACAGTTCACTCTTGGTATGCGTCGGCTCCAGCTGCTTCTTTTTATTAACTGTGTGTGCAAAGGCA